CGGCGGGGGGGGGGGGGGGGGGGGGGGGAGGGGGTCTCCGCTGCGTGCGTGCGACGGGCAGGGGTGGGGGCGGCGGGCTCTCAGGGCCCCGCCGCGCGGCGCCGCTCCGCCCCCCAGCCGCCGCCTCGGCCGCCCGACCCTCCGCCGCCGCCGCCACTCACCTCCTCGCGGAGCCCCAGCGCGGAGCGCACAGCGGGCACGCGCACCCGGCCTGCCCTCCCCCCGCCGGCCCCCCCCCGCCCCCATGCGGGGCGCGCGCCCGACACCCGCCCGCAGCCAATCGGACCCGGCCCACCAGGCTCCGCGAGAGCCGCCCCCACCCAATCACCGAGCGGGACCCAGCTCGGCCGGCCCATAGGACTCGGCCGCCGCAGAGACTCCCTGACTCAGTCCCGCCCCCTTGACCCCAGCCACCCAATCACCGCGCGCCTCCGCGCCCAGAGCTAGCGAGACCCCGCGAGATTCCCTCACCTCACACAACCCTCACCTCGGGCGGCCCCGCCTTCTTCACCTTTCTTGCCAATCACGCGGTGCCGCTCCGGCCTTCCGGCCAATCGAGTCTCCCCCCGGGTCGATTCCCGCCCCCGAGACCCGCTTTTTGCCCAATCGCGGAGCCCTATCCGATCCGATTAGCCAATGGGGGAAAACGAAAGCCCGAAAAGGGGTTACTGGGCCAATGGAGCTCGGAGCCCGGGCGGCGGCCTGATTGGCAGCTCTCCTCGCGAGTGAGGGGTGGCGGCGGCCGTTTTTCTTCGAATCGCTGCGCGAGGCTCCCCGTGACGGCCGAGGAAGTGTCTGGTGCGCCCGTCCGCGGGTGGGCAGCCGGCCAATGGGAGTCGGGAAGCGGGTGACGAGCGGCGGGAGGTGCCAATGGCGCTGCCGGGGCGGGGTGAGGTGAGGACGCGGAGGTCGCCGAGGCGGGCGGCTGGCTGGTCGGTCGGTGCGCGGCTGGCTGAGGGGGGGGGGAGCTGCGCGCGCGCACGATGTTGGCGGGGCGCTGTGAGGCGGTGGCGGCCTTTGAGCTGCGCGGGGCGTGGGAACACCGCTGCTCTGAGGTGATTCCCGCCTCGCCCCGCCGCCAAAGGAACTCGCTGAATTCAGCGGAAACGCGGCCGTGCGTTTCGAATGAGAGCCGGCCTCGAGGCGTGCGGGGCGGCGTTGCCTCAGGTGCGGCGGGCTCGTGCAGAGCTGAGCTGCTCCGTTCCGCTCCGCCCGCTGAGTTTTGCTCCCGTTGTGCAGCTGAGGTGCGCGCGGCGTTGTGGGCGCTGCTATGGGCGCCGCTTGGGACGCACCGCCTGCCGTTCCTCACAGCCTCCTGCCCTCAAGCGCTCTGCTAACATTTAGGTGCCTTGTTAATTCTCTGCTGCGTTTCTCAGGTGTTACTGGGTGTTCTACTCCGGAATTACCGCGTAGCTTTGCTGTCACGTTTGTTTTTAAAACACTTCAGTTACGAGTTTACTTGGGAAAAAAAACACGGAAGGGCTCGTTTACAACTGGTTTATGACCGCAGGGCGCGGGCGGAGGAAATGCCAGGTGAAGCTCGTGCTTTCGTGCTGTATCTTTGTTCAGGTTGCTTTGAAAGGCTCTTCTAAAGAGCGACACGCGGGATATTAAAAAGTAATGCCGCAGGAAAACTCTTGAGAGTGGTTCGTATGGTTCATCTACGGCTCGTTCGACAAACTGCGGTGTTTGCAGGGATGGTGGCTCTCAAATGGAGGAGCGGCACCCAGCTGTGCCAGCGGGCAGCCTGCAGCCCCAACGGGCGGGGCGTGCAGGCGGAGCAGAACGCTCTATCCTGCATAGAGACCTTCCTCTGCGCCTCGAGCTCCTGGCTTCCTCTTGTTGGCAAGTCCAAGCTGTACTGAGTTTTCAGGTGGAGGTCAGCAAATGGATGTTTTGCCCGTGAAATACTGAAAAGCTAGTGTTGGGCACTGTTTTGTAGACGAATTTTTTTCAGAGTAGAAGTGAGCTGGATTGCAGTCTGGCATTGCTGGTGGTTCTTCTGGCAGCTTTTTGCTGGGCTATTACAAGCCATCTTTTCCATTTTCCATGCGCCTAATGAAGTGTAACTAGAATGTGGGATGTCCCTTTGTTTTTTGCCACAACTACATTGTTCTTTTTATTTGCCCTTTGAAATTGAACCAGCTCTTCTCAATGAGGTAGAAGACTGGTGAGGTAGCAGCTGAAGGGATGCACTTATCTTGCATGTCCATATGGAGTCAAGTCAGATGGCAGTATTGAAGGACCCGCCCTAACGGTATATCATCCTTCCGTGCTGAGCTTGTAAAGCCTTTCATTGCTATTCTTGGCCTCTGCCTTACTGTAGAAGGCAAGGGCAAACAAGATTGAAGTTTGCTTAGGCTGAAATAAATTTAAGGAAACCTGGAATTGCAGGTATACCAAGTGCTCAATTTCTAATAGACCTCTTGTTTTCTCAGTGCAGTCCTGAGATAGAAGCCTGTTGCCTGCAATAGTGTTGCATGTTAGCTGTATAAATCGCACCTCATTTGAACACAGCTGTGGAAGGAACATGTGGTGCTCTGCTATGAGTTGGTGCTTCCTTGTTCCTGCATGTCTATGGACAAGAAGTGTGAAGCCTTCCGAGAGGAGCTTGCTAGAGCTGGTACACAGCTTTGAGCAAGAGTGCTTTGCAAGTAGTCCAGTCAGTGTGAGCTGGTGAATCTAATAGCAGGTACTTGAACTGGGCAGGTAGAAACACTGCTCTTGATCCTGCCAGAACCCAGTTTGACGGCACCTGATTTGTCATCCCCAGTGATGCATGGAGATATGTGATACTGCTGCTGATGAAGCACGACAGATCAGTTCTGATTTTTTACTGGTGAAGACAGTTATTCATGGGGACATGCATCTGTCTCTTGCTATTTTGCTCACAGTAAGAGGACTGTAAAGCAGATGCAAGTCTGCTTTTTGAGTATCAAACACCAAATGGTAGCGTATCTGAATTTGTCAGACATCTCGCTAAGCCTGTTTAAACAGCATGTAAAAGTAAATGCTGTAGTCTAGAAGCACAGAGGACAGTCTTTTCTCTTTCTGAAAACCTATTGTATCAAGTTCAGTATTTCCTTCTGATTCTTGGGAGATTTACTCTCCCCTTGAATTTGCCACTTGCCTTGCAGAGGTATAATCTTTTTGACAGCACTCTGCATAAGGCTAAGTGGTGGAAGACAATGTGTAATCATCCCTGTTCTATTTCTTTGATCTTCCTCAACAGTGTGTTAACCTTAAAATTCTCCATGAAAGATGGTATTGCTCAGTATAAAATGCTATAATCCAGTTTCAGATGTAGGCTTTGGTGTTTTTTTTTTTTTTTGTGTGTGTGTTATGGAAACTGGCTATGAAAATAGGCCTTTAAATGATTTCGTGGCTCAGTATTGTGCATAAATGTCCTTCAGCATGTGTGTGCAGGTCTTTTTGTGACAATTTAATGCAGGAAAAGTAATATTAAAGAGAGAAAGTATAATTAAATGCTTGCATAAATTTCTGTGATGCACAAAATGGGGGCTCTGAGCTGCATTATTGATAATTTATTGTGTGGGTGTTTGACAAGCCCACACGTACTTCAGTGTACAACCCTGCAGATGCATTCCTCAGCATTCTGCAGCACTGTTAATATTTTATTCATAAATCCTACTATTGAAACCATAAAGTGTCGTAAGCAGTGTTAGTGCTTGGGAATTTGATGGCTTTTGGCTAGTCATATTTTGCTGTAAACTAATCATGGTTCTAACACACAAAGGGATCATTAATACATGCGAGGCATCCCTAGCTTTAAAATTTGTTGTCTATTGCTATTTCTCTTTGAAAAATTTTCCAAAATGGTCATCTTTAAAACCTTTTATCTCTTCATAAAACAGAAAGCAAATTTATCTATTAATAAGGCAAAATGGGGAAAAGAATATTTTGTTGTGACTTTGGTTAGGTTTGCCTTACTTTATGAGGTCAGTACCTTTGTCTAGAAGGTAACGAAGTTCTGCTTGTTGTCAAATGGGGAATGAATTTTTGGTCTGTTCTAGGTACCACGTAATAGTGAAGAGGCTGGGGGAAAAAAAATCAATCAAAACAAGTGGATGCCCTAGCATAGCTTAGTCAGTCAGAAAGGCACGTCGATCAAAATGAGCATCGCCTTCATCTTGAAAGCAGCCATGGCCCCTCAGCCCCGTTCATGGCTCTTGCAGCTTAGTTCTGGCAGTGGTCATATTGCAGTGACAGCTTTGTTCCAGGTTTGTGCAGTATGCAGTCTATGCAAGTATGGTAGTCACCATTTGGTGCTGGGGCTTGAATTCCTCCCAAAGACTGTTAGCTCCAAAGCACTGAACTCCATACCATCCAGTGTTTTCTAGCCAGAACTATTTTTGTTTCCCTTTTCTGGAGGAGTAACTGAATCCTTTGCTCAGCTACACAGCTTAAACGTGATCTTGTCTTTAACTGGAAGTGCTCAGGTGCTTAAAGTCAGTATATACTAATTTGCTATTTAAGGATATAGGTCTGATTGTTTATTGTTCTTTCTGTCTCATTTCCCTCTTGCTGCTGAATACCAGTTGTTGGTGTAAGAGGGGAGATCTTTAATCCTCAATAGAGTTTTGGAGAAATTGACAGTTCTACAGTTCTCTGTTCTCTATTTCTTTGCACCAGAAATGACCCTGCTGCTCTTTGTCACCAGTGTTTCCTTTTATCACTCTCCTGGCAGCTGCTTTTGCTCCATTTTGATGTCGGAACAACAAATGAACTCCCTCTGAAGCTAATGTCATTGCCAGCAGATTTTGAAGCAGCAAGAAAATCATTTTTGTCTCTGAAGACAGAATTGGAGACCTTTGTGAATGAGCTGTGTTCTTAAAATAACTCTGCAGCATGTTATCCCCAGAAGGTGAAGAAGTTAAAACATCGTGACATACCACTTGTATTTGTGTGAGCAGGATCTCTAAGTAGTGGAGTGAGGAGAGAAGCAGGTTTCTTCCTTCTCCAAATTGAGTGTAGTATCTGAGCTCTTTGTTTCTGCAATATCTCTTTCTGAGGGGGAGTAGAGGAGGAAGAGGCTAAGGCTCCAGTAATTAAAATAAATTGAATTATTGAGGTTGTAAGTTTGATCAGTGAAGAGACTAACACTGCTGTGGTGGTGTTTTTAGGAATACTGTCCTTCAGAGGCCTGGCTTCTGTTCTGTCACTGATTCCAGTGACAACGAATTGAATGACCCAGTTGAATTGATCCAAATTGATGACATGCCTCTTGCTAAGCATTTTGTTCACAGCGTCATGGCTAACAGGTATGACAGTTTCTCATCCTTCATTCAATTACGCTGAAGCAAAGCATGTGCTAAAACTTGCTTTGTCAGATTTACTGTGTTTTGGCCCAATACTCTGCAGATCAGATTCAGTGAAGTTGTGGGTAGGAGATAAAACCTTTAGGCTGTTAAGTTCTTGCGGTTGATACATCAGTAAATACCAGTTAGTTTTATTTGCTTTAGCTTTGTAATGATAACACAAAGTCCAGCCTGTTCTTTCTTTGTTTTTTGGTTTTTTTTTTCCTCATTTCAAGTCTGGATAGCTTCTTAGAGCTTGTTCATATAATGACTAATCTTTTCTAGCACAATAGCTCGTAAATCAATCCTTCACCATGTCAGAGTGCCTTGAGTGTTGTAATAGACCACATTCATTCAGTATCAGAAAAGAACAACGCTTTATGGAAACACTCATAAACAGTAATTTTTAAATTCAGGTCTTTGCAGCAGGCACACCTATCCATTACAGCAGGGCAGCTTTGAGAATGCATCTTAAACACTGTTTTTCACTGAGGTACAGAGAAGTGATTGTTCCCTGTGGTCTTGCCAGTTTTACTGTATTTCTTTGTTGTATGCAGTCAAGATGGAAATACATAAAAAGTCAAAATGTCTGGGAACTAATAGGAAATAAACTTGCAGTCTTGTTCATGACAGCATCTCACTTCAGCATTGTCTTCAGAGTTTGACTCCTGTAAACTGGGATAATGCAATGCTAATTGGACTTGTTTGCATAGGAGATGCTGTAATTGGCGCAACTTGAAGCCTATGCTTTTATTTGGTCATCACAGGTATGGAAAAACAAATTTCAGGTTGACTCCAAACTTGCCTACATATATGTCAGTAGACTTTGGCCCATGATGGTAATTTAAAATGGACTGAATGAAGCTAAATCCTCCATTGATAAAAATCAAAAGATTTACACAGCATCAAAATCTTCACATCTCCCTCATGCAAGCTTTTCTGAATCACTTCTGTTAAGTAAGTTGGTCATTAGGTTCCTGTGCTATGGTACCAGAGCACTTGGATGCTATCAGTGACAGCTCTGCTCACTAAATGACTGCTGAGCCTTCACACACTGAACTTCTGCCCTTGCCTGGAAGCCTTGGCAGAGGGTTTCACTATGTACATTTGTGCAGACATATTTCTGGGTTTTCTGTGTGTGAAGAGGGCAAGAGCTATGTATGCATCAGTTGGTTGCATTTTATGTTCTACAGCACTGGCATCACACACATCCTG